ATATTTACGGAGCATTTGCCGCGGAGTATTACAGTTTGAATATGTGTCACTTTTCTCTTGAATCATTTGCCGGGAACGAATTTCTTGTGAAATCGCAGAAGTCACCATTCAAGTCCAAAATGTCTACGAACGTCGATAGACGGCCGACTAATTTGAAAGCTCTGTCGATAAACGCTAAAAGCAAAGTTATTTTAAAGTTACTCATGGCATTCTGGAATCTTTGGTAAACGAAGACGGCTGAGAGGAATTTCGAGAATTCTTATTGCGTCGAGAGTACACGATGGTATTTGTATAAAGAAAGCATGCAACGTTTGCACGCTTTAACTTTAAATAATATACGTAAAATTGATACGTGTGACGCCTTAAGCTATTTTACAGAATTTGCCAAAGATGCTTTTACTTCCCTGTATGTTGATTTTTACAACTTTAACTTTGAGACCTATTCAAATTTATGAAATATCGAGATCAGATTTTGATAGTGTGCATTCACAAATTATAACTTTAGTACCTAATGAGATATTCTAACATCCATTGAGCTCTCTCTCTCTCTCTCTCTCTCTCTCTCTCTCTCTCTCTCTCTCTCGTGAGTACAGTCATCAAGCATATGACATATTAGGCGATTAAGATGGTTAATATTGTCACAATAGGTAATTTCGATCAATAGGTCAAATTGGCATGTATCTATGACCAGTGAGTACGTCCATAGTCGAAAATGAGTCAGCTATAGTTTCGTTTCTACGACAATTATTGAATTAGGAAGGATGTCAATCAATATTTGTAAGTAATTAATTATTTGAGACGATACGTATATTTATGTGATCGTAATCATAATAAAGTATTTTTTGGAGAGTCGAAAGGGGTGTTACAAGATGCGAAATGATCCTCCGGGATTCCTCTTGTACACACGGGGTACGTGATAATGTCAATATATCTGACCTAGATCTAGCTCAGGAGTCTGTTTTAGTAAGAGTCTCACGGGGATATTTAAGAACTTAGCGCATTACATTTTTTTACTTTACGCGTACTAATTTATTGTTAATATTATTATAAATAAAATTATGGCAATAATTAATATAGTGAAAAATTAATTATATCTCTTCGTCAAAAATGCGGTAATTTGGACTCGAGCAAAAATTTTTTGATGATTATACATATATCTGTACAATTGATATTACAAGGTTCTAAATTGTAAGTAAAAACTTTTGAACTTTCTTCTTTCAATCGCTGTAAGTTGGAAGTTTACTTGCATTCTATGTTTCAAATAGGACGCTTTAGAATTTGGGATTAGTTTCCATAGCTATAGTTGAAGGAGTTACATCAGTAATATTACCTCGTTTTTCACTACTTGTACCACTTTGTACTTGAACAGGAAAATTAATTTCTACGTTTACAAAATCATTGCTGTACGGAAGTTAGACGCGTGTTGTTGTACGAAAATTGGATGTGCATTATGTTGACGTAAGCGAAATCGCGCGGCTTTGATCCTTGAAACTAAATAATATGGTTTGCAGACTTCAAAGTGAATCACGGCACAGCATAAATGTATTTGTGTAATCTCGACAAAACGATCCGTTTTTATTAAGAGTATTTTTATTAAGAGTATTTTTATTAAGAGTAATCAGAATATAAATGCTAAAATCGAAAATATTTAGACCAAATTAAAAATTAATTTTTTATTGTATTCTTAATTTTGCCAATAAAGAGAAAGTTGTACACGTACATGCCCAATGGAATATTTATATTGTATTTGATACTACATTGACGCAAATAAAAACGATATGTTGTAATGGAAACATTTTGCAATAATATTTTCTGTTTGTTGCACAAAATTCTTTTAAAACAAATAGAACGTACAAAAATATTTTTTTTTCATTCATGGTTAGCGATCGAGATGCTTTTTTATCCAGCATTCATTTTACTGTAAACGGAAAAACTACCGCTCTGTACGCAATTTTGTATGAACAGGTAATACTGTCTATTTACTTGAATACTGATCGAATACCGTGAAACGTATCGGATAAATCAATATGTGCAAACAAGACATAAATCGTGCTATAAAATATAGTAAATTAGAGTGAGAATCTGTCAATATATCGCACACTTATTTTCTGTAGCAGTTAATTTCATCGGAAATAGAAAGATTCGTTAATACATATTTATAACATGATGTGTAATATGCAGAAATCGTTCTATATTCTCGCTCCATTTCCTGATTTATGCAGTAACAGTTTTTAAAAATTAAAAAGATTGCGTTAGTGAGAGTAAGGTTTGTTTTTAAGAGAGTGAAATAAAAAGTCTTAGCGATTTACATATTTAATAAGGTGAATTGTTATAAAGGCTTGCTTTGGTACACAGCTTCTGATATAGTTTTATTTTTATATTAACTTATACTGCTTATATAAATTAAAGAATATTGTAAACAGCATTGGTTTCTTGATTGTTTCAGGTGAGTTTGGAGTTATTCAGTTGTATTCCAAATATGGTTCATCTACTGTAAGTCATAATAATTTATTTTTTTAATTATTAACGCCGTAGCACAGATTTTTGTATAATGTCTGAGAGTTTAGTTAAAATAACGTATAATGCATAAAACATAAGAAAATCAACGAATCAATCTTTTATTTCATGAAAATGAAGAAAATGAAGGTCTTCGATTGATTAATTTTCTTATGCATTATACATTATGCCTTATGCAAGACTATATTGGACTATACTCCTGTCTTTACGATGTTATATTTCAATCATTATATAAATTTTGTTGTCGATAAGAAGGATTTCTGTTCTTATTAACAGTATTATGTCGGTATAGTAGATATCTAACTGGTAAAAAATATCGGTATAGTATCGACATTACAGTCTTTTATCAACTGTTGCGACTGTAGTTAATACATTAAAGACTTGTAAAATTCCTTGAGCAAAAACAAATTTGATATAAAACGCGAAATTTTTAAAAATAATGTCTTAGAGTTTAGTTAAAATATAAATGTCGTATTCTAATATAATATTGCAAAAAGAAATGGTATAGGAAGCAAACCAGAAAACTTGCTGAAAACTTCAAACGGTAATGTCAATTTCTTGTGTATCACGGACCATTTCTTATATATGTACATTTGTACAACATATTATTAACGAAAATATTATTGAAAACTTATTATTGTTTGTAGGATGAATAGATATTTACTTATACAAGTAAAATATCTGTTCATCAAATATCTATTCATATCTATTCAATATCTATTACTTATATAGAGATTTTAACAATAATAATTTTTTATTTTTACTACACTGAGAAAAAAATTGTTGATTCAAAGAAATATTAGAAGAAAGTCACCGATACTGACTGTCAAGAATTTAGTCAAATTAACAATTTTTTTCTCGGCGTACTTACAAGAGAATTAATTTTGAAAATTTTACATATGTTTACAATCTATTTTACGTATTAAAATATATATTACCTATAAATGTATATATGTATTATTTTTTTAAATATTAAAGAATTAATTTTTTTATCATTTTGTTAAAATTAAAATTTTTGTTAAATGATTATTGTATTAAATTTATTAAAGTTAATATTGTTTTTTAACAAATATTACACCTATTTTTCATATTATTTATTATAATATAAAAAAGCTGTCACAATTTATGTATTTTACATAATAATATATAAATTTTGTATTATTTTATATTATTATACATACTTTTATTTTATAAACGTGAACAACTTATGTTTCTATAGAAAAATATATAGCTAGTCGGAATATTTTGTCTGATACAAGTGCAACCAACTTTTTTATTCGGTGTTTTTAGTTAAAAAATCGATTTGTGCTTCATCTGTTCACAAAGCTCTGATCTGCGTTCAGTTTGCAAACCCGTGTGACGTGAAGAAACTTCGTGACGTCATTCCTCCCACTTCGCAAAATGCTGCTCAATTGCATCGATTTCATTGTATGCATCGTGTATTTGCAGAGATACCTCCATTTTGACTCTGGGAGGGTGGGATAGGTGACATACATTACCCCCAACCTTTTCATTTAATACCTCGCTTCGTCGATGAAATTCGTAACTTAGGCAATTTAATACGAATGTTATATTTTTATATATAGCGAACAAACACAAAGATTTGAAAGAGATTTCTTGTTTTTAATACGTTTATCAATATTATTAAGATCTTTCTAAGATATCTATGAGCATCAAATTGCTAAACAATTAGCATTGGCATTAACATTTAGCATTAACATTAGCATTGGTACTACGGACAGCTCTCTGTCGATTTAACGTTTCAAGACCGAAAAAAATCATTTCAGCATGCAGTTTGGCAGAATTTGATACCCAATCTAAAAATTCGCGCACACGGACATGCTGACACATACCAATTATTTAAGCACTAAAAACTTCAACCTCGACCGTTATAAGCTCTGTTTTTTATTGGTTGTGTATTCACATAAACGGTCCAACAAGATTCTTATTGAAAAAAAAGTTTTTATAGACATTTTTACAAAAATATTACAAGTGATTGCTTTTGATATGCAGCTTCCTGAAATTTTTAATAATAATTTTCATTTGGATCTTGACTTTATATTTCATGTTATATTATATATATAATTTTATTCTTAGATTGTTCGATACGATTCTTCTCTCTTCTTTATTTTATTACACAGGATATTTTTGAAATACTCTTTTTTGTTTAATTTTTTTATTTTATTTTCAATGAAATTTATAAAAGGTACACATCTAAATTATACATTAGACTAGAGAAGTTTTGATCGGAGTTTGATTTAGAAAATAGAACAATTACATCAAAGATATATTGAGATATAAAAGAAATTGTAGCGTAAGAAAAATAAATGTTCAGATCTCTGACAACCATAATTATTTTACAAAAAGATGTAAAACGTTAAAGAATATTGAGGATCTGAATGGGTTTCTCAAAGTAAAAAAAAGCCGTGGAATAATAGCAGAACTGCATTAACATAATACAGTTAAATAACAATCGTGTGAGATAATGTGTATAAAAATAAATTTATTCGACAACGTACATAACACAATTAGTATTTTTGCACGTTCGATCCATAAATTACGCCCGAGAAGCGCTTTAAAAGACACACGTCAAATCGAGTTGTCGAGTTGAGTTTACCACTTCTTCAATGGATATTCGCCATTGAGAGTGTCGTGAGACGCCACAAACGTGCCGGTAGATCCCAATGTTGGTACTATGCCGCTGCTGAATCCAGCATGATCTACACCGCTGGCTAGTCCAATATGTTCAGCACCACTAGCGAGACCGCTGGTGAAACCGCTTGAGATGATGCCGCTGTCCAAACCGCTGGTGAGATGACCGGTGGTCAGTCCAGTACCCAGAGTCGTACCCGAGATGGCTCCCAGACTGCTGGATCCTAGACCGATGTATTCGGTAGGCGCAATTCCAGATGCGATGCCAATAGTCGATGGTGCGACTGCGAAGGTCGATGGTGCGACTGCGTAGGTCGATGGTGCGACTGCGTAGGTCGATGGTGCGACTGCGAAGGTCGATGGTGCGACTGCGATGGTAGATGGCACGGAGATCGGCACATGTTTTGTGACAGGGACTGGAACAGGTACCGGCTGCGATACTGGAACCGGCACTGGATGCGGTACGCGTACTTCGACGGGTTGTGGTACCGGAACAGGATAGGGACGGTCAACCTTTACGGGTACGTGACGGGTGACTGGGACAGGTACTGGTTGCGCTACTGGAACGGGGTAGGGACGGTCTACCTTGTAAGGTACGGGGTGTGGGACAGGTACATGCTTGGTTACTTCGACGGGAACTGGATGCGGAACCGGGACTGGCACTTGAACTTCGCGGTGCACAGTAAGACCGGTGATGCGCTCAGTTTTAGCATGCGCCAAGCTGGGCAACGCATTGAATCCAGTAGCGTGACCAGCGATTAAGGCAGGGCTTCTGTAACCTCCGTAGTAACCTCCGTAAGAACCTCCTAATCCATATCCTAGTCCAGAGGCATAGGCGGAAGCGAGGTTGTTACCCAAGGTGATTCCTGAGAGTCCCGACCCGGAGAGTACCTTCGTGCCGAGTCCAGTCGAGTATCCTCCCAGACCATATCCTAAACCATAGCCCGAGATGCCGCCTAAACCGTAGCCTGAGATGCCGCCTAAACCGTAGCCCGAGGTACTGCCTAAACCGTAGCCCGAGGTACTGCCTAAACCGTAGCTCGTGATACCGCCTAGACCGTAAGCATGATCACCGGCTATCACACTCCGTTTGTCGTGATTTTTCGGGTCTTTCGTCTTGTCGGCTGCCAAGACGGCGGTTGCCAACAGCAGAATCTGTACATTTTTGAGAAAGAAAAAAAATAGATTAATACAGTTTTGAAAGCATCATTGAAACTTTTTGAAATCAGAGGTGGCGTTCGAATTGAACAAGTTTTGATAGATTAAATTGTTGTTAAATTTAATTATCAATTTAATTAAATTATTACATATTTAATTATTTGTGTTAATTAATTAATATAATTAAATAATTAAATATTTTTATAATATAGATCTTGTAGAGTGTGTGCGCGCATATTGAGGATATAATTTTAACACAATTTCATGTATAATGATAAAGTGAGCTATTTAGCAATTCTGAATCAACTGAATAGCAGTAGAAAATATCATTAAAGAAGAAATATGTATTATCTAAATTTTTCTTAGAGTGAGAGTCATTCCAAAAATGGAGTGAGATTACATTCCTTTAGAGGGAATTTCACGCTAAAGAAGTGAAAATCTGCCATTTTTATTCAAAAGTGCAAATTTTTTATTTATTTTTAATAGTGGCAGTATTTTAACTCTTGCAGTGAGATTTCATTCTAAGAAATTTAGAGAGTACAATAATGAACGGCGATAAAAATGGCAGATTTTCACTCGTGTAATCTCACTCCCTTTTTGGAATGACTCTCACTCTAGAAGAGTGAAAAAAATCTGCCTTTCTTATTTAAAAGTGCATAAGAAATTCCTTTGACTTACCGCGAAGCACTTCATTGTTTGTCGTGGTAGTTTTGGATCGAGTGTGCCATCAGTCCGATCGGTCGGCGTTTTTATACGAAATGCCCGGTTCGCGATGTATGCGATTACTTTCACTGAAACGACAAGGAACACGCCCTACTCCGCGATCCGCGCACCTCCCGATTATTTTTTCTGGTCGGTCAGTTCGGTCCATCCGATTCCCCGATCTGACGTAACGGTCAGAGTCATGGCAGACTTGCTCTCAAAACGGGTTCGATTCCGCATTATTACGCGGCTGTTACGTACGTAATTGTTACACCGGTGTGTATATTGGTATAACATCATCTGTTTCCTTGTTTAATTCTTTTTTGCTAAAAGGGATTACTTTTACCAGTCGGCATGCAAGACGGTCCAAAATTAGAATCGATCGATATGGTAACGTAACGACGGATCTGTAGCAAGGGTTCTGATATAATTTTGAATATGAATGTGTAACATATATTACATAATAAAATTACTAAGATTACTTTTCTTTCTTTTTATATACGTGAAGAACGGTTTCATTGAAATATCTAAAAATTTAGCTAGATACAAATCTGAAAATAATTTTGTTTAATCATTAAAAATTTATTCAGAACGTGTTGCTGACAATGTAGCACAAAATTTTAATATCTAACAAACAATTTAAGCGTTCTATATAATTATTTTGGTTTATTTGAATCTAAATAAATTTTCTCAGATTTGTCTTTAGTTAATTTAAAAAAAATATTTTAACAAAGTCGTTCTTTTCGTGTAGATTTTATGTATTATGTGAGATGTGATTTACAATTCTAATTAAAACTACAAAACGTTCTATTTTTATGGCATTGAATACAAATACTTGTATTTAAATTATAGATATGTATGATAATAAATAACCGTGTTTATGCTCTAATAATAAAAATAAAAAACAATTAAAGTGGTTGTTTTTGTGACAAATTTGACAATTTTTATAACTTGATATTTTATATATACAGAACGATATCTAATTTACATATTTTCGAGGTCTTAATCGTTTCTTCTTATACGAGTCCTAATCGTTTCTCTTTAGACATATATTTCCAACAAAAAGTCAACATGTATATGTATATTGTGCCGAACATATAATAAAACTTAAGATATTATCCATTTTGATAAGGATCACATCTTGCGGTTCGATGGAATATAAATTACTTGATTCTCTCTCTTTCTCTCTCTTTTGTATGCAAACGAAACGCAGAGATGTGTCGATGTATTTCTAAAATATTTATTGGTGCTATATTCTGCAAGTATTTATTCATATTGCAACGTGATGACGAATGTTGCAAAATATCATAGACAGAAGAATAAATAAATTTAATGAAAAATTCGTAGTAGTAATTGCGATTTGTTTTTACATTTTGCATAATTCTCAATTTCGTATTGATGAATAAGAATTTACGATATCTAATTTTTACTTGACAGAGATTGATGCGACAATGTTTCTTTTGTAAAATTGTTGTGAAATAGGTGACTGTTTTAAAAAAGTTATTTATGCTATATTTTCTCATATTATTGTACAATTCGGTATAAACCATTTCCGTTTCGTAGTGCAACATAAATCATGTGTCGCGGAACAACTCGAAGTTCGGAGTTTTGTAATCTTGTAGATTTTCATCTTAAGAATTGTCTCAACGAAAATACACATTCCTCTGCAGTTTGCATGCATCGTACCGATTTTCAGGAAGTACTTTATATTCATGACGCGTCCACGAAGATGCGCTTTATATAAATTGTACGACGAGTATGCTGCAGATGTAAATTGTATTGTAACGTGACCATCAAGTGCCATCTCACCACATTTGCACATGCTAAAATACAAGAATATTCGGCATTTGCAAATCGTTTTTGCTCGTATGTGGAATTTCCGTAAAAGGAAATAATTAAATATCCGAGACACACCGCCCGACGAAGATGTGTTATTTTTTTGCGAACTGTGCGATGAGCGCAAACTATGGAACGAGAAATGTCAGTTTAGGAATTAGCTGTCTAGAGCGTCGAAGTAAAATACTGGTTTTGAACGAGGGCGAATTTATTTTAATTTTCAGAAAGAATATATCACTTGACTTGGTTATAAATAATTAAACTGTTGATATTAATGTTTGTTGCACTAACAGATTATTTTAATATTTTTTTATTATTATTACATAATATTGTACAGAAAGAATTATATCTAAAATATCTAAAATTGTATCTTTAGATATTTTGATGGTTCAACAAAATTATTTTCAAATTTTCTGTATCTATAGTTGGATTTTTAGATACTTTAGCAAAACTATTCTTTCTGTATAATTGTGTGATTTCAAGAGCGCATTATTCTTTTTATTTTTTTATTACACTATGTCAATACTGATTGTCATTACTTTGAGAAATTCATGTATTGAAAAAAAAAAATAACGATATTCTGCGAGAGTAATAGTAAGGAAATATTGATCTACGATATTTTAGAACTCTTTCATATAATAAAATCCCCCTTCTTTCCGCACGGCGATAAAATTTCCACGTAGCCTACTTTGGATGCTACAAACCGCAACTTAGGAGACGAAGGAAAGAGGAACGTGTTATTACGGAAAAATACGAGGACGATAAAAGGGGTGCCCTATTCCTATGCTGTCTCCTCTCTTGAACCGCCCCCTGATTTCCTACGGAAATTCTAGCGAAGTTTATGACACCAACCGATCATCGATGGTTCAATCGATTTTGTCGGTAGCCCTTTAATGCGAGTTATTGGCCCCTATTTTATCTCGGTAGCTTCGGTTGCCTTAAGTAAACTTGTTATCTAAGAATATGAAAGCAAGGTACTTGAGATACTTTTCGTCGAAAGACCTCTAGTAATTTATTCCAGAGAAAATAATATATTCTTTTACTAAATATAAATTCTGCTGCATCTTTGAGCAACATAGCTTCGATCCATCAGCAGTAATTGAATTTTGACGATTTTAAATAATTAAGAAAAGAGAAATGTTGCAGTTATACCAGACGCCATTTACGATATATTTATCGTTTTTTTTTTATAATATGAATGATATACATATAATTTATTGAAAAATCGTAAAAATTGTGCACATCATTAATTACAAATGTAAACATCAATGGGAAATTGTTAAAAGTATATTTATAATGTATCATTTGAGTCTAATGAATTTATTTGTTAGTCTTTTTTTATTTGAATTTTAGTAGTTGATTCAATCGATTGTTTAGCGGTTGGAGAATCAATACTTTAAACCGATATTTAAAAATAGGATCTTAAGTAGTTTGTTACATTCGTCTGTCCTTGAATAGAGGAAAGGGGTAATTGGACACTTAAGGGAAAACTTAAATAAAACTGCACAAATACTAAAATTCTTTTTAAGACCGTATAATTGATAAACATTAAACTAACAAAAAGAAGGAAACCGCAATAATTAACGGTCAAAGCCAATAACGGTCGAAGCTGGATCACAAATGCTTATTAAGATTATGTGTGAATTTTATATACCGCGTATGTAGTTCCCCTATCGCGTGCCGAAAATTTTTTCAGACTTACAACGCAACTCTAAACAACTACCGCAGTGATATCACTTTTTAGTTAAATTGACAAGGAAAATTTAACAATTATTTGATGCTTATATAGCATCTTATTGGATCTTTAATAATATGTTGAAAGACATATATTAAAATTTAACGATGTAAATGTTAAAGTAATGATGAATCTAAAATCTTTCGTCAATTTAACTAAAAAGTGATATTACTGCGGTATAAATGCAGCCGGGTGCGAGTGCACGAGCGAAGCGAGTGCGTACGGAGCGCCCGTGCCGACCTATAAACAAATATGCCCCCACGCGCTACACATAGAATTTTTCAAGTGCTCGTTGTAATGTGCCCTATACAGCAACGTTTTTGCGCAGAAGAGTGGGATTAGAGAAATAACTCAACGGCTTGAGGTATTGGCTATTTATCGCACGCAAAAGCGTTGCGGTATAGGGCACATTACGTGCACGCGTGATGAAAAATACGTAATGATAAATATCATATCATGCGTTTATAATAGATAGATATGTTTATCTACATTAATGTTTCAATATGTTTTTGATTAAAAACAGGGTTGGTAAATAGACTACTTTTTGTATATAATATATTATATACGAATCCGATAAATATTTTCCCTATATAGGAGGCTAATGAGAGTGCCACGTTGCTGTTGGTACGTCAAACAATTTCCTTGGATATATTAAATCCTTTATTCAAAATCACATATAGTACGTTTCGACTCTTTTTTGAGTCATCTTCAGCTACATAATAACACCCAAATTGGATAACCGAATAAGTCACATCGAATTGGTAGATTTGATGTTCTTAATCTCTGTGAAATACAAGCTAATATTTTAATATGTTCTTATTTATAATAAAAATTCATGTGACTCACCAAACGATATCCAACCAGGAAAATACAAAACTTAAAATTAAAATATCATGGATTGTCATCATCTTACGCTGTTACAACAAAATTTTTTTCGTCAAAAACTAAACAATTTGTCCGAGTGCACAATAAAATATTACATGTAGTCATTATGCTGTAAAATCTAGACTGAAATATAACCTTCCTAAATCCAAATATCTTTCTATAAATGTACAATTGTAAGTCAAACCGATCAAAACATAATAAAAACAAAAACATGCATCAACAATTTACAAAGTTAAAACATATCATCGTTATTAAAATTGATGCAAAATAATAGTAAATTCAATTTCTGTTGTGTTTTATTTCATCTAGAATTGTTAAATAATTGTAATTCAAGTCTTCTGTGTCTGTTATTTTATTTAAACTATTATCTTGCATGTAAATATGAACGCATTCGGAAATTAAACGTCTACCTAAGAATCTCTCTGTATCCAAAATCTTTACTTTATCCCAGTCAAAATCATGTCCAAATTCAATCCTATGGTCAGTAATCACTGATTGTACTTCTGTATTTCTATTAATGTGATTACGATGTTCAGTAATTCTTGTTTTTAATTTCCGTTTAGTTTGTCCTACATA